AAAAAAAAAAAAGTTCACCGAGTAGTGTAATGAATATAAAAGAAAATGGGGTACACCTGCATATATGCAACTGCCTCTGAAACAGAGAATAATGTATTAAGGAACTCCCATCGGCTCTCCTTTCGCAGATCTACAAGTTCTCTTCCGTATATCTCGCTTCATCAAAAGAAAGTTAATGGGTACTACTAAGTAAATAGCTTAGATCCATTCAGAGTAGATAGAAAAAGAACTTCAAACTAATTTGCATAGAGCAAAGTTTGGTAAATAGAGAACATACACATGCACACATACACACACTAATGGGATATAAAAAATCAGCCATGAGTTCCTAGGTGTTTGAAGACTGCATTTCCATTCACTTACACCCCTTCGCAAATAATATATATTTTGAACAATAATGCAAACTTTTAAACACACCTCACATCTTGAGTGGACAACATCCTTGTTCCATGCATAGCCCGCTTGACATATCCAAATCGATCTGCTTTAACTAAGTTTCCTTTCTCTTTGTCAATCACTAGGCCTCGAATGACCTACATACAAAAAGTAACGGGCATTCTATAATCAAAGAACATGAATACGTCTGCTATCATATTCCACGTGTATGCTGCATACCAATTCAGGGTCAAATGTAAGTCCACCAACAGGAAAGCCCATATTTTTCAGATTTTCCAGGCAATAGTCATAAGCCCTTCCTTCCCAGGCCTGCAAGCACAAAAACCGTACCCTATTATTAAATTCAACAGCACTTCTTTGCTTGAATCCACAAAGCAGAATGAAAAACTCATTCTTTGCGTGGAGTAGCTTGAAACAAAGTTACTCATTTCAGTACTGTAAGCTACCTCTGGATGGACAAAAGAATGACACAAAATAACCTCTGGCCAAGTAATTGTAAAGAGAAACCCAGGCTAGAACTAAGACGACAAGTCGAAACATAGATGGCATCTAGCAAATTTGCATGCATTTTCATCACCTTACAACTAATCAATTAATATTTAAGAACAGTAGGATTTACAGGAACAGTAGACGAGGATATAGATGCAGTTGATACACTCTGATTTGGTTCAGTGATTGAGGGGCATAAAATTACCTCTACATTATAATGCATCAATGTGTAGTCCATGTCATAGCCGATGGCACTAATTGATCTCAAATTGAGTGTTCGGCTACAAAAGATGCCACGAGGAGAATATCGTGAAGACAATGGATCCTGCACAATGTTTCATTAACTTAAGTCAGAATGCTCTGGTCCCACATGTGTCAGAAAAAAACATGCGCACACATGTTCGTAAGATCTCGCAATATTGTTTGCTAGACAAAACAGATAATGGAACATTACGATGAAGCTACACTATATTGAATAGGTAGTCTGTCTAAAAGGAGATAATGTGGACTGCCCAAAATGGATAAACCAACAGGTGAGATACGTGGTAATAAAGCATCGCTGACACAATCTTAATCTTATATAAGCTGCATAATCTGTTCACTCTGCATAAACCCTTCTAGAACTTAATTCTAAGATAAGATTACCTCATAAGACCATCCCATAGAGCATCATAAGACAAACCTAACACGTCACCTCCCCAATAAGTAAGTAAAGGCCACGTTCGTTTACAAAGTAGATAACTAAGCATGAAACCAACCGGAATGCCCAAGTGATTAAGCAAGTGCTCAGCTTCTTGAGCTTCCATTCTGGCAACATCCTCAATTGGACCATCCAGACCCGCCCCCTCGTCATCAAATTCTACAAGAGCCAGGGTATTCAGTGCAAGCACTTACGAACTGCAATACTTTTCAAATATGAATTTTTCATACTTTTTGTCAAAGGACATACACTTTTCAGTTTTCAACATCAACTCATCAAGCTTACTCTGTTTCCTAAAAGTTGGGACTTTCCACCTTAAACAGAGGTTTTTTTGCTTTAAAATCCAGTACCAATAAGTGGGGGCGATATGGTAGAAAAATTGTTCAATTACCAAAGTTGAGGTCAAGATCCCCTCTGGTGCTCTGGCCAAGGTAGTCAAAATCGGGCTTGTCGGCGGTGAAAACTCCGGCATGTTCCGTGGAGGCACGAGGGCAACTTACTCTCACGGCGGCGGCAGTAGAAGAAGGTTGGTCGTGAGAAAGGGCGGTGAAAGAGTGAGATGGCCTCAACCTATTCCACCCCAAAGTCGAATTCCCATAGGTGGCTATCGTGGTCGCAGTTATGGCGGCCATTCACACAAAAATTGGAGTCACCCTCTAAAAATTTAAAATCCAAAACTGAAAAGTAATGGCGCTGTGAACTAGCTGCCTGCTTTTGGGGTGCAAGGAGGGTTTGTATTCACTCCACTTGCAGGTTGCAGCCAAAGGCCAGCATATATGCTCGTATAAACTCTTATGAACAAAAGGGCAAAAGGGTTTTTGTGTCAAAAACGACGAGCAGGAGCTGATTCCGGCCGATGACGAAACAAGGCAGCGGGAGGGAACAGAGGATGATGATAGGGGGCAAGTAGTGAGGCAGACATTTCACCCACGTGTGTGAATAAAATCATTAGTAATCAATCTTTTTTACTAACATTTTGAGACTTTTATTAAAGATTTGAGGTTTTTTTAAGATTTTTAGGGCTTGATTGTTTACGGATTAATTTGTTCAAAATGAGTTATTTTGGTTAATTATATTTAACTAGTACAACACTCGTGTATTATACGGGTGCTTGTTAAAAAATTATTCTTAAAGTTTAAAATTAATTAAAAAACTATATTAAATTTAGTTTACTTTTTTACAGAAAAAATATATTACTATATATTCTAGAATGATATGTGTTACTTATGACTTACATGTGTTATATTATATTAGTTTTTATAACTTATATCATGTAACTACTTGAAATATAAATATATTAGTTGATAAATATTTTTTTTTCTAATTAATATTAAAAATAATTTTATTATTGTTATAAAGATAAATATGAATTATTTTTTTTATACATACAATATGGATGTTTAATCGAAGCTCATCAAAAGAAGATTAATTTGATATATTATATATGTAAAACTGATAAAAAAAATACAAAAGTTATTAACTTTTAAAATATATATATACAATTCAATAGTTATAATAAGGAATGATATTAAAATGCAATTAATACATGTAACATGACCATAAATAATCAACATATTTATGGTAATCCGAATCTAATTATTTTTGGTTTGGAATTAAATTAAAATTTACACAGCCTAATAACGAAGCATGTAATTTTGTCACATAGGATTCGAAAGCACCAGAAACAGCCACGTAGGCTCAACGCGTTATGGATTAATATATAGGGGGATTTGAAAAAGGGGTATGGTTAGTTGTTAGTGGAATTTTAAGAATGTATTAAAATAATATTTAAAATTAAATGATTAAAATTGATTTGATGTAAAAGTAAGAAATAAATTATTAGAAATGATTGTAAATGATAGGTAGTTAAAATTATGTGAGTGAATGAATAGTGAATTAAAGTTGATGTGACGTGTAAGAATGATTGGTTTATATTATTTAATTATCTGAATAATATTAAAGATAGTGATGTTGAGTTAAATTTTGAGTTGAAATAAAAGTGAGTAAAATAATTTGTAAACAATCAAGCATTTTGCAAAAATCTTATGAAATCTTTAGGGGGTGATTGTTATGGATTGAATTAGTTTTTGTTTGGTTTATTTTTTTTAACTATAGTTAATTTTGAAAAAAATAGTATGGTTAGTTGTTAGTAGATATATTAAAATAATATTTAAATAAAATAATTAAAGTTGATTTGATGTAAAGTATGAGAAAAATTGTTGGAAGTGATAGTTAATTAGAATTATGTAAGTGGATGAATAGTGAATTAAAGTTGATGTGATGTGTAAGAATGACTGGTTGATATTATTTAATTATATTGATAATATTGATGATAGTGAGGTTGAGTTAAAGTTGAGTTAAATTTGAATTTTGATTGGATTTTTTACTGTTGAATTTATATACAATCACACCCTTAAGATCTTAAGTCAAAGAGGTGAAATTTATAGTGAGATTTCCGTATGAAGTTTTTTCTTTAGAAATTCCAACAAATTTTAAAAAGTTTCAACAAATCCTAGTAGCAAATAAGTTAAATACATTAGATTGTGTAAGACTTTAATCTCAAATGAATACCCCAAAGCTTTTAAAAATGTTAAAAGTCTAATTAAATATACCAAGGTTTTTAAAGTCTTAAAAAGTCTTTAAAATTCCCAAATGAAAGCATAAATAAGTACAATGCATAATCCAAGGATTACAAAGTCACCTATCCACTAGAAGAGTTGAGACAAGCATAAACGAACCATAACAAGTTCATGCCCTCGGAAGGCTCAAGCAGCGGAACACTGATTAATAAAGATGGACAAAACAACAAGAATATAAGTGAGTTGCAGCAGCCAAGACTTTATCCACAATGGTCTTCTTCTTGTCCTCCACCAAACTCCTGATGTTGAACAAATTTGCTACATATTTCAGTTCCACCATAAAAATCACCTATTCCCAACTCTTCTCATTCACTGAATGAAACATCCACAAAGTTTTCCCCAGGTCTACATCCATATGGTCTTGACTGATGGTAGCAGAGTCAAGCACTTCACCACTTTACCTTATTTTCTTGCTTCACCTCTTAGAAGTGTTAAATCATTTGATGAACCTATGGCACTAACAGATAACTCAATTTGTCCTACCTTCTGGAAATATTATTCATCAGTGATAGAACACCTCAAGCTTAGACCAGATAGTTCAGAATCTAGAGAGTTAACTACATTAGAAAACTCCACCCATTCAGTTTTTGCCCAACTCACCACCTCAGATTCTTCCATCCATTTGTTCTCAAACAACCAGTTGTTCGTTGTCATCCAAAGCCACCAGAGAAGGTAGGAAGACGGACTTAGCCTATCCATGATGGCTTTGGGTTTCAAGGTATTAGTCACCTCAATCCACCACTTCCTAAAAGAACAATTTTTTGACTCCATCTGAGTCTAAGATATCCCTATCAGCTTCTAATTAGAGTTTTGCTCTCTTATAAATAAAAAGTATGTGATCATTACCTTATTCACCTTCACCGCAGATTTTGCAAATCTTATCTACCCTTAATTCCCTATTGACTAGATTCAAATTTGAGCTTAGGAAGCCATACCAGCACCTCTAAACGAAGTTTTTATCTTGTTTTTTATTGGTAGCTTCTAAGTTACATTCAACATCTTTTCCTCTTCCCCCACGTAGTTAGTGGTGTCTGCTACCTGTTTTGGCTGCATAACTTCCTTCATAAGCATAACATAACAAGAATTGACTGTAAAACCCTTTGTTGTTACCATTCCAAGTGAATATATCTCTCTGATTTCCAGGAGTCAAAGGAATGCTTAAAATATTTCCTGCTACAAAAGGGGTGAAAGATTGGTTAATTAGCTCTACATCCCATTTACTAGCATCCTGGTTCAAAAGGTCCCTCACCCAAACTACTCCAGTTAAAACAATATTATTGTCAGCGCTAGTTGAAGGATTGATCGTTGGAGATCGCCAATTGTTGTCTCGCACAAAAGTGCAGTATGAGGTATTTCACAATATGTTGGGAGGTGATCGTCATGAGCCTTTGGAGACCAATCATTCGGGAAGCAGGAAATAAATAACTAGGACCAACATGAGAGAGATAGCCAATATGCGTTGGAACCACAAGGTAGATCTAGAGAAGTATGAAGGATATCTTTCTCGCGGTCCCAACCACTTGAACGAGGCGCAAGATATGAAATGTCATGCTCCTGAATGTGTTGCAATTTTGTCTTGTCAGAGATCCCTCAGATAATGAATCCCCTTCAGGTGATAGAGGCGACAATGCAAGCAGCGGTTATGCCTTTGATGGCTTGGAACCAGGGGCTTGAAAAGGCAATGTCTTCAGCGATGGCCTAGGAGGCAATCAATGAACGAAGTGTCACATAGCTATAGCCTTGAGCTTGATGATACATGGGACTGCCACGACTCAAAAGGGTCGCTGAAGTACAAAAAGACTTTGCCAAATACGCTAAACTCAATCGCGAAAGGGCTTTGACAGTTTGCCTTGAGGAGTTGATCACAGGGGGCAGGAAAGCCATGGAGAATTTAGCCATACTTACTGTGGAAAAGGATAGCCTCAAGTCTCGTTTGGAGGATGCTGATAGTAGGTACAGTCGTCGGCTTAACGGTTTGAAGCAGTAGATCTACCAGTTGAAGAACAACCACATCTTCGAGATGAATCGCCAAACTAAGGCTCTAACCAAAGCTCTCACAGAGCTTCAAAATGCGTGGGATGAGGCTAAGAAGAGCACTGATAGGGCAACCACTTTCTTTGAGAGGGTCTTCAAAGTGGTTTGATTGGAGGAAAGGAATTCGGTCTCAATGAAGGGATAGAAACGCGGTCACGCTGAAAGTTTTGCATTAGGTAAGAAAAGGGATCGAGATCAGCAAAGAGATGGTTGTTGTATCTGGCAATGATACCAGTATGTTGCATAAGACAGAGAGAGTGGATGCCATTCGTTGGGTGTTGAAGACCTTCGAGCGGGGTCAATAAGTGATAACGGAACCTTACAATGGATGAAGATAACATAGCAAGCCGAATGCGGACGCAGAGGATGAGCTCAATGAATAAGCTGGTCGCCCAGTGAGGAAGGATCCAATCGTGCAATTCGATCCCAATGTGGCTTTAGTGCAACATATATCATCCGGGGACGCCACCTCTTTAGGATGAAGGACGACATTTGGCCATGGAGGCGCATATAACGACGACAAAGATTCTGGCGATCACTGAGTCATCTGCGGTCTCTTCTATTTTGAAATTAGTATAATGTTGTTTAGGCCTATGTGGGGCCTTGTTCTTGATTTTAGCCGTGATAAGGCAAAAAGACTTGCGTTGCTATTGTTTGGCCGTCTGGTGGCCATTTTAAAAATGTTTTAATAATATGTTTGCAATTAAGGTTGAAAGAATGTATCTTTTAAAATCAGTGAATGTGATCGATGAGACCAAGCTGAGTGCTTGTCGCCACGTTTTAATAAAATGCAGCCGAATCAATCGGTGATTGCTTGTTACTGTTCTAATTTATTTGCTTGTAAAAACAATTTGTTTCAGCATTTGCTTTTTGAACGAAATGCAAACTTGTAAATATTTGGTTACCACATACCGACAATAAATGGACAAATTTTTGTTTGCTGGAATGTATCGCTACTTAGGAGCGATCGACGTGATGCTTTGTGGAAATAGCTTTATGATGGTCAGGCCTTATATAGATAGCCTAAAAAATGATATTTTAGAGGCTAGGTCTCTTGTGGACAATATGATATTTTAAAGTCGGGTCCTTGGTGGACAACCTGAAAATTATTTTTGAAGGTCGGGTCCTCTATGGACAACCTAAAAATTATTTTTGAAGGTAGGGTCTTTAGTGGATAGTCTAAAATTATTTTTGAAGGTCGAGTCCTTGTTGGACAACTTGGAATTTGTATTTGAAGGTCGGATCCTTGATGCACAACTTGAAAACTATTTTTGAAGGTCAAGTCCTAAGTGGACAACCTGGAAATTAATTTTGAAGGTCGCGTCCTTGATGAACAACCTGAAAATTATTTTTGAAGGCCGAGTCCTTGTTGGACAGCCTAGAAGGGTCAGTCGTGTGGACAACCTTGAGAATAAAGTTTGACCGCTTGAGGTCAGCTCGTTGTCACAGGTGGTCGGGTCGCACGCGAACAACATTATAAAAACCGGACCTCTAGTGGGCAGCATCGAAGAGCCAGGTCCCGCATGGACAACTTTTAGAATATAACTTGGCCGCTTAGGGGCAACTCGTCGTCATTGGTGGTCGGGTTTCATGCGGGCAACTTTGTGAAGGCTGGGCATCTAGTGAGCAGCCTGGAAGATCCAAGTCGCGCGTGGACAACATTTGAAAATAGAGCTTGGCCGCTTGGAGGCAACTCATTGTCATAGGTGGACGGGTCGCATGCGTACAACTTTGTGAAGGTCGGCCCTCTAGTGCGCAGCCTGAGAGTGTAGGGGGCCATGTTCACGTGGACCATGTAATGACGAAGTCTCATGTGGACAACCTCGAGTTCGAGATGGTCACAGTCGTCTTGTGATATAGGGATCGATTTGTATGTTCGACTATGTTATTGAGTTGTTGAATGTCCATTGTTAGTGCGGTGATCGCCATTTGCTTGATATATATTGAGAGAAGATCGTGAAGGTGAAAATATAAACATAATTTAAGATTCTATAATATTAATTTTTTGGTTCAACAATTAATTTGATGACACAAGGTTGGATTTGTGATTCGACGACCTAGATTTCAACCCAGGTCAATGACCAGTCGCAAATACTTAGGTGCGCACTGACACATCTAGCAAGGTGTGCCAAAGAAATTTAAAATGAACATGTTACATAATAAAATGAACATATGTAACATGTTCATTTTAAATTACTTTGGCACACCTCACTTTGAAATATGGTGGAATTAAATTAAAATTATATTAGATTTTGAAATGATTCTTTTTTTTTTTTCTT